CAGGCTGCTCACAAGCTCCTAAAACTCCAGTCACTACTCACCAAATTAGGATGTAATACAAGATCTTTGAGAAGTATGTCAGGGTGTTGATATTTCTAAAGCGTTGCATGTCGCCATGATTAGAAACCATTAACAAATGAAAACTGGACTTATCACAGACCTCATCATTTCTATAGTTAGCCTTTAGCTGCAAATTCAGGCTACCTCTTAATCTCTCTGCGTCTCAAGTATCTTATCCATAAAAATGAGAAAAGATAAACAAAAATTGCCATAGAATATCTTTCCAGTTCTAAGATGTCTTAACTCTAAATGACTAACAAAATTTTAATTAAAGTGATTCAGTCTGGAAAGGGGAACTAACAGGGAATAGGTAAGGATTCGAGGTGGGAAATTTTTACTTTTTACTTTAATACTTTTTATGCTCTTGTTTTATAACATTGCATTATTTTAAGTGTATGACAAATTTATATGAAATATAACTATGATACCGAGCATGTAACAAAAGTATATAATACAGTCAAAGCCATGTTTGTGTATATGTATACATGTTGGATTTTAATTATCAATGTATCTAGCTTGCAAATACCATTTTTATTTTTAAAATAATGACTACATTCTTCAATTGGATAGTTAGAGATGACCTTCAAGTTTTGGGCCAGTAACAACTGCCACTACGGATGTGGAAAAAATGTATTAACAATTGAATTTACTACTAAATTCTATTAATATATCCGAATAAAATTAACAAAAGGAAACAAAAAAAGGTTAAGAAAAAACAACCTTTTTTAAAATTAATTTAAAAACCGTTTAATGGGGGCCCCGAAAAACCCCAACCCAAACCAACCAAAAAACCAATGGGGCCAACAAAATTTGAAACAACAACCCTGATGACTGACCACACATTTATAAACACTTCACAGATGTCTCCTTTTCTCAGTGAACATCAATCAAGATAAATTTATAGAAGATGTTATTTCCTTCGTAAGAGGAGGGACCAGAACATTTGCACCCAAGCGAAAAGAAAACCGTCGCAAAAGATCTAACGCCGTTGATGTGACCGACTTCATAAATTGGGCCAATTCATTAAGTGATGCTCCTGCTCTCATGAACCAAAAGGTAAGGAAGATTATGTCATTGTCTTAGAAAAGGTCACAGTGGGTTCAGTTCAGACAACCAATGCGTTTCATCTGGACAAGATGATGGGCCATTCAAACACACTCCCTACTCGCCCTGGGAGGCAGGTTGGCATAGCAAAAAGGGTGGAGTGGGGTGTCAGACCAACCCAGGCTAAGTTCTTAACCCTCCCTAGATTATGGCATTATCTGACGTCTTCAACATCCGACTCGCCGGGACTCGGCATGTATTCTGAGGGCTAGGAAATTCCCTTCTATAAAGACGATGGTACCAAATGGCACAAAACCGGTGCTCAGGAATTGTGAGCTCCCTGACATTGCTTCTCTCTTCCCTTCACATAGCCGCATGCTAACTCGTTAGCCACAGGACGATTGTGTTTACTAAGAGCAGGATACAATGGAGGAAGTCCCTTGGTGATGCAAGGAGACAAGCACTCAGTTCATAAGCAAAAGGTTATAGGTGCTAGTCCACACCGAGGCTCCTCTGAAGAAAGGCCTGGTAGGTGACGTCAGAAAAATCATAACCACTGAACGCCCTAGGGGATGGTACTGTATGCTGAAACACTGAGGTGTCTAAAATGGGAAAAAAAACCAGAAGGTAACTGCTACATCTGGTGTAGAAAGAAAATCTGTAAGAACTCTAAGGGAAGTTCATGGGGTCTCTAAGAAAATATGACCAAGGATGAGCAATTCACATGATCAGGAAATTCCTTCCTTTCTGTGCTTTTATTAGTACATTTAAATCCTTTGGCTCTACACATGCTAGTGCTTACTCTTAGAATGGAAACTGCATGTTTGTAAAGATGTGTCTATGTTACCTAGCCTCCTCTTTCTCTTCCCAAATTAAAAA